CGGCAGAGATGAGGACTGTTTGAAACTCTTTTTTTCCATGCGCATCGTCTCAGTTTAATACGTGAACATAACAAAAGATATGATCGCAAAACAATCAGGAAAAAAGGCATTACATGCAAATTTTAAAGTTATAACATGTAAATATATATAGTCACCAGTGGCGACCTCAGCAACAACTTCATTTGCAAATTAATATTTTTGGTCGCAAATGCGGTCGCAGTCTGGAGCCCTGTAAGATTTTGCTGAAATTGCAAAAAGGGCTCAGTAAAGCATCAGTAAGAATATGTTGAAAATTATAGTCATTGTATTTTATTTGATTTACGTTAAAACTGTATGATTTCCAGCTTGTTGAAATCATATATTTGCAGTAAGAATTATGTGTGTGTGTGTGTATAAATATATACACACACACACACACACACACATATGTAGCGAATCAGCTCATAAGGGAAATGAAAAATTGTGTTTTTGATTGGTCCAGACGCTACACATACATATTGCAGTATGTGTACAATGTAACATTTGTATAATGTTATAAAATAACAACCAGAAATCATAATATCATGTAAAATGATTATATTTGTTATTTTGTTACATAAATATAATATAATATAGAATATAATATAACGGGTGTTAAAAATTATACAATATTTATATAATACAATATAATATTTATATAATAAAATAACTAGAACAATATAAATATTTATTGGAAATATAAAAAGTAACAATTTTTAATTTTTCTTCTGTTGGGGCCATTAAAAATGTTGGCAGGTCACATAAAATCTGTTCTACTCACCCGACTGCGCCAGTAGGAAAAATCCAAATTGTTGTCATTTATTAAATATTTTGCTTCAATTTGATCATGCTTTCAGGCTACCAATAAGAGTATAGTACTCTTAGTACCAGCTCTATTAACCTTCATTTGACCATATTTAAATCCACTCTGCTGACAAACTGCAGAAAATGTGAAAAAAAAGGTTGCAGATTTATTTTGGTTGTGCTGATCAGTCAGTAAAACTCACATTTACTCCCTCCACAGACATTAAACCCGCTAATGTCTTCATCACAGCCACTGGAGTGGTGAAACTGGGCGACTTAGGCTTGGGACGTTTCTTCAGTTCCAAAACAACCGCAGCTCATTCTCTAGGTAAGCGCTCCTCCCTCCCACCTCCTTGTCTGTTTCTTTCTGTCCTTCATGGAAAACGGAAAAATGAGCATTGAATGCAGCGGAAAGGGCCTTTAATTACTCAGTAAGGCCCGGATGTATTTCATTAGGGCTGGCTGCGAGCAGAGCCATGTGTCTGTTATAAAAAAGCGCCTTCCCGACGGCCCCTGGAGCCAGTTGAGAGCAAAGCGTGCCAGCGGCTGTATCCATTTCATTGAGCAGTTGGCCTTTCCTGTTGCCTTGACCCAATGACCCCACTCCGCACATGTGATGTCTGGATGAGGACAGGATCCTGAATTCCTAACGATGCTAGGCTAGGACACCCTATGGTGACAGAGCAACTTTTGGCTAAGTTGCCCGAGGAGGTGCTGCTTTTAACGCCTTATATTCCAGATGACCTGTTGTTTAAAATCTCATTTCAAGAGTATACAAATTTGTTAACAGCTTGTCTTCTGCTTTATAGCAGTTCATATTGCTAAAAAGTTTTTTTTCACCATCAAGATCAGATTGTTTGTGACATTCCTGCATTGAAGCATAGATCATTTTTCTGTTGTCAAATCTACTTTGACTCCGTTTTGGATATGCATTAGGATATGCTAGTAAGAAGTCAATAATCAGTATTATTATTGTTCATATTTGAAGTAGGGATATATATATACTAACTATTTATTTATACTTTACCATCACCTAACACTCACTTAGTTATTCAGTTAAAAATACTAACAATTTAATAACACTGTAAAATATAGTCTTTACCCATTTTTTTTAAATGATCTATTTTTACTGAACATCTTGGTGTTATTTAGTATCATTTAGATACTGTTTTAGTTTTTATTACTATTTAAAATTAGTTTTAGTTTTTATATTTTCTTTCTACTTTTTAATTTTAATTCAAATTTGAGTAATATTCTTGTTTATATCTTTTAAAATAAGCTAATATTTTTTATTAATTTATGTTTTTTTATTTATTTTGTTTATTATTTATATGTATTTTACTACATCAAGTTAAGCTAAAATAATAAATGTTGCAACTAGCTGAAATAAAGTTAAAATTGTGTATTTGATATATATATACTGTGTGTGTGTGTATATATATACAAAAATAGTACAGAATTTTAATATCAGCCTTTTATAATTTATCTCCTTGAGAACTGTGACCATATCTAGGTACCAAAATATCTAGAGATTATCTAGTATTACGCCAGTGAGTTTTGATCAGCCCATCTGACTGACTCACATTTTCCTTATAAAATGTGCAAATGTACTTAAAATATTTGTGACAATTTTGATCTAATTATGATTACCGGACTTCTATTTCTGCATTTACAATTATTAGGCTGCTGCTGACAGGTTACAGTAAACACAACATAATTAGCACACAAGAATAGTCTCTTGTATTCAAAAACTACAATATGAAACAGAATATAAATGGCATATAAATCCAGTATGTTTATATGAAATGTGCATCTGTGTGTAGGAGTATAACATGTTTTATGTCAGCACATGATGAGTATAATGTTGTCAAATAAGAAAAAACATTTTTGCAAGTGTCTAGAAATAGCTAAGTTCGCAGCATGTCTTACATTGCAAGCTTCCAGCATTCACCTCGACTGCAAACAACACTGCTCTAGAAACACATGAAAACCTAAACTCACAGCGCCCTCTACAGGACGCTCCGCTCCCTCGTGCTGAAGTCCAGATTTTCAGGATGAGCTACAATCTCCACAAGGGCTTAATCAGGGCTGTCCTTAATCATGTCTTAATGGCGCCTGCGTCACCTGGGGACCGAAGGAGTTGGTGGATCCGTACGACCACATCATCCATTCGCACCTGCTCTCGGGGCCGGTGCCACACGGTATCATTTACAGACTGCCATGTTAGGGATCCCTAACAAGGCTTTTTTAAGACCCCAGCATGATTTATAACTGCTAATGCATCGGCGAATCATACCACCGCAGTTGCACTTGTCTTTTGTAGAGTTATATACCTAGCTACCTCCCCACCTACTTATTTATTTATCTGAGCGCCTGGAATTCTTCTCTCGGGATGTTTTAGTATTGACAGTAGGAATGTACAAATGAGCATAAAGACGCCCAGGTAGGTACAGCACATATGTGAGAGAGAGTCTCCTGCGGTTCTCTGTCACCTGTCCTGTAGGCTCTGGCTCTCCATATGAAGGCTGAAGTTTGAGCCATAGCAGGGTATGAAATTCATGAGTGTCTACATGGCAGGTTAAATTCACCCATGGGCAAAGAGACCTTCGATCTGTATCTCCCTCAGGGCGGGCAGACCAAAGCTTCCCGCTTCCGTTCTCCCTCGCTCCTCACAGCCGCTTCACCTCTCCCCCTCTCTGTTTCTCTCCTTGCATGGGGGCGGTTTGGGGTGGAGGGTGCAGGGTTGCTTTGGTATGTTTGGGGGTTGACAGTTCAGCCTGTAATGAGACAAACCACCACGGTAGAACTCTGGGATGCACGTTGGATGGCGGTCCGGGAAGTGCCGTTCCACGGCTGTCAATTCTTCTCTTAAGAAGCCGAGCCCTAGCCTTTTAACTCCGTCTCCGAGTGGCTCCGCAGCCCACAGATACAAACAAAACATAAGACTGAAAGAAAGGAAAGATAGCTCTTTACGTTTCCCGCCAGAGGCTTTCTAGCCTTTAAATATAACAGAGAGGCGAACTGAAAGAAAGGCTTTTTGAGGGGAAATTGAAAAAAAAAAAAAGAAAGTTGGGAAGAGAAATAACAATTAAAATAATCCCAAACCCTCGTTTTTCAAAGAATTTATCGTAATTTCATAATTCATAACGGAATGAATCCTTACACAACCTACGATTTATTTGCATGAATACCTGCTGCTGGAGTAGTTGCTCTGTAGTGCTAGGCTTTTAAGAAACTGTTAGCATGAGAGGAGATGCCCCTTTTAAAGTCTGATGGATGTTGAGGCACTCCATCAAAAATGTTATTTTTTGACGTTATGTATGTGATAAAGGGTCAGTTTCTATGTTTATGCTTCCTGTTTCAGGGTTCACATTGTTAAACTAGTTTTTCGTCAGCTAGTCTCAACTTTTAGTAGACCATTTGTAAGTTTATTCCCACAAAAAGTGTCAACATGATGTTTTCAAAACATTGCTTTGTTTTGTTTTACAATCTTGAGCAACCCAATATAGCCACATTGACTCATCCAATAGCATGAGTTTAGAGGCAGAGCTATCTGGTTGACCAGTGGCAGATGGCCAAAGTGTTTCCAAAACTTTTTTTATGTTTTGTTTTGCTTTTTTTAGATATATTTAAAGATGCCCAATATATTGGTACCTTATTGGTTATCGAACAGTTTTAAAAGTTTGCATACAAACATTTGACAAGATATTGTCACTTTAATTGTACATGCTCATTTTGTCTATTTTTACATTTAGATTAGCTTTGCCATCATCTACTAATTAAAGTTTACCTTTAAAGACATTAATAGTTTAATAAGTTAACTTTAGCAAACATCAAAACCAATATCCTTTTTTCATTATAACGTTGTGATGGCTAAATTAACTTGAAGCATTTAAAATTAATTGATTTGAATTTTTAGTGATTTATTTTTCTTTTCTTTTTTGAAGTTTCATACCAATGGCTTTTTAATATTGGATCATCCCTAGATATAACAATGCACTTATGGCTATTGAAGTCAATGATATTGACCAGTTAGATTTCACTGATGCCATTTGGAATTTCTCATAGGCAGCTCTCACTATCTGTTTGACTTTCTTCTACTTGTATAAAAGTAAATGCTTTTTAACATAGTTCGGTTTGACACACTGATTGCATCAATAGGGCGAGACGGTAGGAGGGAAGGGCCACGTCTTTGCTTGTGTTTTTCTCAGCAAGAGTTTCAACCTCAGCCCCAATACCCGCCCAACCATCCTGACACCGTTTGGTGTCGAGACGTTTCGCTTTGGCTCTTGTTCTCACCACCTGAGACTTCTTAACGCTTTGTCAGATCTGAGCTGTTTGTGCCAAGGCTAAACTTTCGCAAACTGCATGCATTTGTCAGATTGCTTATTTTTTTTAACTATATTCTTTTTTTCGTTTTTTGTTTTACCCCTCCCTCTCTCTATCATCAATCTTTCACGGTGCCTGGCTGGTTGGCCACAGTCACTGAGCAGTAAGGAGCTTGTCAAGGCTTCAGGGAGTACAGCTCGGGGAGTTTGACTGGCCTCTTGGGTCCCGCTCTTCTGCCTGATGGCTATTAGTCACTGCCAATTACCCACAATTCTTTGCAGGGCCACAGACTAAGCGACCTGACGGTCTGCTCAGTCTCACGTCTGTCACAGTGCGATTCTCAATGCCTTCCAACATACAGTATGCAACATCATGGCACGTAATCTTTGTTTACCTTTGGCAAGTTTCCCCAAACATTTTCACTGTCTTCCATTGGTCGAGCAAACAGATAATCCCGCCCCTAATACGCTCTCTTGGTTATACTTCAAAATAAACTACACAAATGATATTTAGGAAAAACGTTTTGAAGAGCATCGAACGACAAAACCAAACCATTATACATTGGTGGTTAGCCGTCACGCATTAGTCTGCGCTACAGTGTGAAATCATCAGATAGAACCTAAATTTTCCTGTGGCGGAGTTGGTAAATCATCGAAGACCGTTTTGGTACAGTGGCTGTTTTGGTTTTATCGAATTTCAAAGAAAGTCAAAGAGTGGAGAGTGGAAAAAAAACATGAGTGAATTGATTAAAGTTTCATTTGGCCGTGTTGAATGGTTCCTGTTGTAAATCACTGAGGTTCTTTTGTAATGAGAAGTGAATGAGAGATTTGAAATCTCCTCACATGTAAGCTGAGATTTTCATTCCCCAGTACACATACTTGCAGTCTCTCTAAACCACCCACCTACATGAGTTCATGAACATTCACATTCGGCTCCATCTGTAAAAGTTGTTCTACAAGTCATAATCTGAACATCAAACCACTGCTGTTCCCAAATTACACAGGTTGTTTTTGTTTTGTTTTTTCAGATCATGTTAGTTACATCATACATCCCAAATGAATGTGGTTTTATTTCAATGCCATTGTTCTAGTAAATTGTGTCTGTATTTTTTGTAATTTATGTTTTATGTTATAGCACAGTAGCTCCTTTTCTAAGTGTTGTCTTTAAAATAATTAGGCTAAATAAGTTTAAATGTAATGTTTGTTGTAGTAAGGTGTTCGAAAATGGTATTGTCGTTATTATTAAACATTTTAAAATGTTTTCAGACATACAATGCATGTTCATTGAGCAGAAATGTCTTTCTGTGTTTCTCAACTGGGTTTTCAGTTATGGCAATCGAGAACCGTATGTGCTGTTTTTTAATGAATCAGTCAAAGTGACTCAGCTCAAGTTTTGTTGTATATACATATATATATATATATATATATATATATATATATATGTAGATTGTATATACACATAGTTGGAACAAATTTGGGATGTTGTTTGAATACATTTTTTATTTGTGTGTTCATTTTGATATTATGCATTTTGAAATTTATATTGCAATGTTTATCATATCATACATATCAGGGGTCTTCAACTAAAATTGCTTGAAGTCCAGTAATGAACGCACCTCACCAGCCGAGGTCCAGACAATTATATACCTAAAAAACATGAATTGATGGTTTTTGCCAGACCAGGGTATCTGCAGTCTATTTAAGCTAAAAATTATGACATTTAAGACCTTTTTTACAGATCTGCACAAATAAAATAAAAATTACTGTAAAAAGCATGATTTATAGTTCAGATACAGGTTTTCACAAAAACAACAAGTTTTACAACATGATAAACTTCACATTTCAGCCTTTAAACCATTTATTTAAGAAATCAATTATATTAATTTAAACAATTATTATAAATAAATTATATTAATTAAATAACGTATAAATATATTTTTCTGTCATAATTGTTTACATTTTTATAATGCATTATCTTCTTGTCAATCCACCAGTTTACATTTACAACTCTGCATGTTTGCAGCGTAAAAACATGGGATGATTTTCACATTGGTCTGAACAAAAACAGCAGAACGGCTTATTGAAAATGCAAATTAATTCTCTGCCAGTAGGAGGCACTTTTGGAATTGCAGAAATATAGCGGTTTCCCCGGTAACAGCAGAACACTTACATTGAAACATGCAGCGCTCATATTTATTGAAGTTTAATCGTCATATTAAGCCATATCGCAATTCTTGTCTTTCCGTCCCCAAATTTAAGACCTCTTGAAATCATAATTAAGACTTTCTTGTACCTTGATGTGCCTGATACAAATTTGATTTTATCAGAAAATTGATTCGGACTGGAGTCTGCCAGTTGGCGACCCCTGATACATAGTTTGCTAATGCCCAGCCCTAATATTAAGCAACTCCTTAGCAGTTTGATGTTTGAATGCATACTTTACTGTCAATATACACTACAGTTCAAATCAGTAATATCATAAAATAGTTTTACAATTTAAAATAACTGCATTCTATTTAAAATGATTTTAAATTAATTTCCAGCATCATTACTCCAGTCTTCAGTGTCACATGATCCTTCAGAAATTATTTCACCTTTATTTATATAGCGCTTTTAACAATACAGATTGTGTCAAAGCAGCTTTACAGTATCAAAATAGGAAAATAGTGTGTCGTTGCAAAATGACAATAGTAAACACTAAATTTTCAGTTAAAGGCAGTTCATCATTGAATTCAGAGATGTCACCGTCCAGCTCAGTTCAGTTTAAATAGTATCTTTACAATCAAGTCGACAATATCACTGGAAATTAAGTGTCCCCAACTAAGCAAGCCAGAGGCGACAGCGGCAAGGAACCAAAACTCCATCGGTGACAGAATGGAGAAAAAACCTTGGGAGAAACCAGGCTCAGTCAGGGGGCCAGTTCTTCTGTTATGCTGGTTTGCTGCTCAAGACACATTATACTTATTATGTTTAAAACAGCTGTAGGATTGTAGGATTTTTTGACAAATGTTCAAAGGAACAGCATTCAGTAGAAAATAGAAATCTTTTGTAACATTATATGTCTCTACTGTCACTTCTGATCGATTTAAAGGGGTCATATGATGTTGCTAAAAAGAATTTTATTTTGTGTATTTGGTGTATTTTGGTCATTTGGTGTAATGAAATGTTTATGCGGTTTAAGGTTCAAAGGGTTTGAGACTTTAGTCTTTGCAACTTTAGGGATCTTATCTATTCACAAACAGCTTGTAACACTCCAAAGAGAAAGGAAAACTTGAAATCGCATCATATGACCCCTTTAATATACCCTTACTGAATAAAATTAGTTTTTCTTTACAAAAAAAAAAAAAAGCCCAATGGTAGTGTACAAACCGTTAAAATGTTTCCCTCCACACTGTACACACGCATCGCTGAGTTTGTTGATAGCAACCTCTCTTTAGTCATCTAAAACTCCTCAGTCTGAAACCTTTGTCAATGAAGCATCCATGGATGAACTCATCGCATAGCAAACCAGACAGCCTAACTCTCTCTCTGTCTCTATCTGTCTTTTTTTTTCTGTTCCAGTGGGCACCCCATATTACATGTCTCCCGAGCGAATACACGAAAACGGATATAACTTCAAATCTGACATCTGGTCGCTAGGCTGCCTGCTCTATGAGGTAAGGTATAGAAACCCATTCCATCACTCCCCCTCCTCCGTTTATACACCCCAACCCTCCCTAACTCTACCGTTCTCTTCCCGAGCTTCTGCCAGAGCTGTTCGTCTCCTTTTGTGAGACGCAATCCTACACCTTGTGGTCTGTCGTGAAAATTACAATATGGTTTTGTACTCTGAGGTAAATGGTTTCCACAAAGGATACCTGGAGTATGTTCCCGAGCTGATGAGGAAATTTGAATGACATTTACATGTGTTTTAAATAACATCCACTGCTCTTGCTGCGAAATGATACTGACTGCTTTGATTAGACTTTAATAGCGTACGCTTCTCCATGACACAGTGGACCAGTTTTCTCTTCAGCTCTCAGTCTAAATTGAAGATGAAGTTGCAAAGAGGTCAGCTGTGTTTTTTCGGCTGTGATAAATGTTTAGACCTTAAAGGGATAGTTCAGCCAAAAATGGAAGTTTTGTCATTATTTAATCACTCTCATGCCATTCCAAACCTTTTTCAAGGAAACACGAAAGGTATATTTTTGAAGAACATCTGTGCCTCTCTTTTCAGTATAATGAAAGTGAATGTGAACGGGAGCTGTCAAGCTTCGAAATGACAAAAAAGCACCATAAAAGTGGTCTATTTGACTCTATTCCAAGTTTTCTGAAGTCATACGGTAAACTTGAATTAAATTTAAGTTGCTATTCATTCATCATTTTCACCTCCAGTGAGCTGTTATAATTAGGGTTAACAATGATTGGATCAATGAGTCATTGAGAACCAAATCAGCCAATTTGTGAATGTCATTCACATAGTTTTGTGAACTGGACCAATTAATTTTTAAAAAAAGATTATTACATTTATTAAAAAGATAAAAAGAATGATTCATTCATAAATTAGACATTACTAACTCTTGCTCTCATAAATGCACCAAGAAGTAATAACTACAGATTGCGGTCAGTTTAGAAAAATGCAAAGCTTCAGAAAACTTGTAATACATATGACTCATATGAATAATTTTTATGATACTTTAATATGCTCTTTTGTCATTTTGAGGCTTGGAAGCCAAAATATCCAAATGCAAGAGGTAAAAATGTTTGGGCTGACAGTGAATAAATATGATTCATAAGTTACTGTTTTTTTTTCTCTTCAAATAGATTTTTGCTAATTCAGATCAATTTGATTCAATATACAGTTCGATTAGATTTAACAGTAAATTGATTCATTATTTTAAAAATGTTTTGATAGCAGTGATTCTCAATCTTTTTGACTCCCTTTAATACATCTTTTGTCATAAAAATAAACTCAAAATATGTCAGTTTAATGTTGTATATCTTAATTTTTAGTGTTGTTTTTTGCATTTTACTTAATGTGTTAATGTAACAACATTTAAGTCATTTGAAGACTTACAGGGCCCCCATGGAAGGCCCCCTGGATAAACTGTATAGGATTTAATAATGTATCTTAAACAAGAAAATAAAGACAAACTATTTCAGACTGTAGAAAGTAACTGGAAAGGAAAACATTTCTATAAGTTCATGAATGATTCATTCAGAAGTTTCTTTAAATTGAGAAAAAGGAAAAAAATAAGGGCCTGGATATTCTTAAAAATGTCCATTTTGTGCTCAACGAAAGACAGTCAGTCTTTGAAATAACATCAAGGTGAGTAAATTATGATAGAATTGTAATTTTCAGGGGAACTGTCCCTTTAAGCATCCGACAGCATGAGATCTTGCATAACAGCACTTGCGAAATCACAGATTCCTGTTCAAAAGTGGGCATTTTGTGTGTTTCTGTGTGTTTTTTTTTTTTTTGGCCCTGGTTTCCTCTTAACCAGGTGACTTGGGCCACCTGGAATGGGTTGCAGCAATCCGTAAATGACACAGTGCTTGATCCCATGGGATGTACTGGCTACTACCAAAAACTGGTGTATAAACACACACAAGCCGGCGCAAATTCACACTCGCACAGTGTGGAAATAGACACATTGTTAGTCCAGTACCCGTTCTGTCCCTTCAATCCCCTGAGTGTTTTTTTCCCTCCCCGCTTCGTCTTTTGCCTCTTTTTTGGGGGGAAGCTTACCAGTAGCTACACCTCCCAAAGTGCCTGGGGCTGAAAAACAACCATCTGAGTTCACCGCTGCTTGGAGACAGTGTTTCTTGGCACTAATTAGTCTGCCCATCAGTGTGATCAGTCCGCCCTTCTTAGCAGTGGCGATGGGTCAGCCAAGTGCGGGGAGAAGGCAAACGGGGAACAGTTGTGATCTCTTAAGCTTCTGTTAAAGCCAGGTCCGAGCTCGGCCTCGAACAGATCGGCGCTGTCACCCCTTGGTACACGAAGACTTTCATCTTGTCCCGCTTCCAGCAGGTCACGTGACCTGGAGGAGGTGGGGAGCTGGGAGGTGATGAATTGACATCTGTTTGAATGACAGATCTGATGATCGGCAAACCCGCCGGCAGTTGCTGTGATGTTACAGTAAAGGAGGATCGTGGACTGTTTTTCTTTCATTATTACAAAGTATTCAAGTTTTCAGTTGATCATCTCAATGTTTGTTACAAATGTTTTTAAGTAACTCTAAAAATCAAAAGATGGCTAAGAGTTAGTCTGTATGTGGGTCAGTGGCGTGTCCTCAAAGAAAATGAAGAAAAGTTGAAGAAAAAAACATTTTACAATCAAATTATGTTTTTCAAGCTTTTAATTTTTTCATATTTTATTTATTTATTTTGTGAATTAGTCTATATGTGGATCAATGGCTTGTCCTCAATAAAAAAAATTAAGAAGAATTTAAGGGGGAAAAATGTACAATCAAATGGCTTTTTATTACTATGTATGATATTACATATATATTTAAATTTTTGGTTATAAAATTTAATGATAAAGAAAATAAGAACAATTCAAGGAAAATCTCCCACCCAAATTTAAATTTTTTATTATAAAATGATTTCTTACAACATTTTATGTATTTTTATTCCCAGTTTTGGAAAGTTGCATAACTTGACATTTTACAACCCGAACTAATATAATAAGTTTGTTAAATGTTATTATTACATGGCTCTGTGGAATACTTGATCCTGATTGGTCAGTCGCGACATTCCCGAGGTGTGTTATCCCTCGATATCAACCAGTAAATGCTGATAACACAGGCTCATCCGGGTCACTGAAGTTGGCGCTATACTCTAAGAACAGTATTTCTTGGTGGAAGCTTTGCGTTTGGTTAGCTAATAAAATATTAAAACTTAATATTCTCCCTTAAACTTAAAATCATCCTGGTATCGTGGACTTGCTCTCTTGTTTCATACAAACACAGCTGCTGCCATTTTGCGACTATTGTTTTATACACTGTAATGGATTATAAGATATAACTAACAAACTGGTAAGATTTTAAAACATTTTCGTCTTTAATCAATATCTTTTATCGCCTTAAGCATTTATGGCAGTGTTTCCCAACCTTTTTTTAGTTGCGGCACCCTTTGGAAATTTTAACAAACTTGTGGCACCCTACAAAATTAATTTTGTCACAATATTTGAATGAGCATAACATAGCGGTTAGCAGATCAATGAATGAGAGGGCAGCGTTACCAGAGTTGCCCATATACCACACCATGTTACAACACAGTAGGGCTATTGCAAACAGAAACAATACTGTACTACATCGATGTTTCCTGTCAGCTCGATTTTTGAGCGGACTTTGCTGTTCCGATTCGCATGAACGGTATACGAGTGGAGCGACTGAGCAGAGTGCACACGCATAGAGCGGGATAATATGCAGAGCGTCATTCCACGTGAAAGTGAAACCTGAGCGCTGAACTAATTTTTGGCAGCCGAAATTTCGGTGCATCTCTAATTATTGGCGACATCAGAAATGGATATTATATAATAGATGCTTTTTTGAACATTTTAGCTATTTAAAAATATTAAAAAAGGATTTTTTACACAGCACCCCTGCTCTCGACAGACGGCACCCCGGTTGGGAAACACTGATTTATGTGGTGAAATGTTGTGTAATAAGTGGTATGACTGCACTGTTTCCCTTAAATGTCCATATAGTTTGAACTTGCCGCTTGCTCGCAACTGCTGTCTTCATGGAAGCTTTGCGTTCAAATATTTCAACTCAAATCAATATTTTGTGTCTAATTATTTACTTATGTGGCAAGTAGCTGTGTAATAAGCGGGATAATGTACATCCAGTCGTTAGTTATCGCAGAATAACCCCCTTCAGGGTGATACAAGACCCCTCAGCTTCTACGATAACAACCGGCTGGATGTACATTATCCCTTACATAATCTGTGAAGCAGGTTTTTAAAGTTTTTTTCTTCATTATAATATGAGAACAGCTGTATCTCTCTGGAATTTTGCATTTATGCCCCCCAGAATATCAAAATGAATTGTAATTTAGAAATTAAAAACATGTTCATCATAGTAGAGATGTATTCAAGCCATTGAATGTATGAAATACATTTTTAATGTATTTTTGAATAATTTAATAGATGGGACAAAAAAATATTGTCATTTTATTGACTTTAATTTCATACATGCAGGCCCATATATTGTCTATGCCCAGTTTCATAATTTATTTTGGTGTGTGTAGACATTTTCTTCAGACAATCAAAAGCTAGCTGCAGTGCTGAACTGCTGAATTGGTGATTTGCAGACTTGTGCCATCTTCCATTGATCCTCATTGATCTATTTTGTGTGAAAGGCCTATATGTGTGCATGTAATTCCTTTATTCTGAGAGCATGAATCTTTCAGTCGATCTGTTATGGGGGATTCGAGGAGGGCGGGGGCAGTGCAAGCTGTTGAGGTCACGAGGCCTCGATTGAAAATCATCAATACCTTTGTATTGTATTCCTCAATATGCATCTGCTATTCCGTTTGATGCCGATGATGCTCTCAGTTGGAGCTCATTTGTTCAGCTGATCATCCTGTGATGAAGAGGAGGGGTACAGGGCAAGGCCAGAGTTGGGGTTGACTCCCAAATGGCCTTCACGGCAGACGGGACATGTGCTCT